CCTCCAAGAGACGCTCTTTAAAGTTTGACTCCATTTCATCCACAAATGACACCGATTCTCAACTTTGTCTGCTTGGTGTCGCATCCAGAACAGTACTCGCCAGTGCGCACCGTGAACACGGGCGTAAAAAACTGATCTCTGCACGGACCAACCCGGCGGACCTCCACGGAGCGAAGTACGCCTGAGTATGATGAATAWATATGTGGGGGATCCCCGTTTATGGTGCTCTAGGGGGAAAAAATGATTAGACTATTAGTTGACTAAAAGGCAAAATCTGACGAATCAGATTCAACTATGAAAAYMCTTCGTTGAAGWCACCTCTAGTATTTACACTATATAAGTAAATTTATTACTGTTATTACTCAGAACATCATGCGGTATAGTCCACTTCCTGCTTTTGGAKCGGTCTGTGTTCCGCTTAGCGTTCACACWTGCAATCGAACAGCACCAGAGTTCGTTTCAATCGAACCGAGACCTACGTTTTCAGGCGGACCAGAGTTGGATTACACRTTCACACCTCCACAAACGAACCRGACTTTCCAGGCAAACGAACTAGAGTTCAATTAAAGCGGACTAAACAGTGMAGGTGTGAATACGACCTTATAGACCGGTCAGCTCCTTCAGCTTCTCCCGACATTGTTTTGAGGTCCGGGTGAAGCCGGCCGCGGTGTCATCCCGACACGCTTAAAAACCTTCACGTGCTGCCATCGAGCTCCTTCTGGACACGCTCGGCCGCAAGAAAGTTAAAAAAACCTGATCTCATCGTTTGACCGCGCAACGGGGGCTTGGGTCAAGACATTCTGCTGTTAGCTGAATGAAAACAAAATGTCAGTGGTACGCTGCAGTCGTGTTGATGACTCGCCATGCTGTCCTGCCCCCGCTGCAAACAAACCAATCATGATCAGCAGTACATGACGTCAAACTGGGCCGATCACACCGGCCCAGTTTGAACCTCGCCTGGCCAGGTTCCAGAAGTCGGGCTGGAGCCGGCCCTCAAATGGACATGCAGAAACCTGGAACCCAGGTTAGAAGCCGAGGAGGGCCGGGCAGTGTGTAAACGCCTTGTGACCYCCTGAGCAGTTTAGACCTGCATCACTTCTAAATGTCTGAAACAAACCCAAACAGTTCATCTGCACGAACAGAACCTCCAGTTCAAAGCTTGAAACTGGTTTTATAAAAGTTCTCAGGTGGAACAAACGTCTTCAGCTACAGAACTGAAACAGTTCTTGAATCCTTCTGGGTTTTAATGTCCTGAATGACTGAGGATTTTAACCTTTTTATATTTAAAAAGACATTTTTCTCTCTGTATCTTAATGAAGTTGTTTTCTGTCTCTTTTCCTGCAGGTGGAACCGAGCCAAGTTATCTCTGGCRCAGAGGAAGAACCGGGTCGCCCAGAAAAAGGCCAGCTTCTTACGAGCGCAAGAACAAGAAGCAGGGGACGGTTAGGGGCTGAAATACCACGCTTCAAATAAATCTGTCCAACTCAAACATCTCTGTCTGCCTTATTTTACTCCTCGTTCATTTAGAATAAATCAAACACGAGCTGTAGTGATTCACCTTTTATTTGTGCAAAACCTCTGCTGGTTTCTGTCAGAACTCAGCAGTGATGTGACGGAGAAATGACCTGGTAGTTAATCAACGATGGAAAAGGTTTCTAGCAGCACCCATTGGAAATAACAATCAGCATTTATGGCACAATATTACATTCTGTGAGAAACTAACATTCAGTTTTACCATCATGTTAAACATTGATTCACATTAAAACAGCCTCAGTTTTACAGATCAGGTGTGTGAAGGACTCCTGAGATGAAATGATTCAAACTAGCTGCAGTTTGTTTCTGCAGCAGCAACATCAACACTTGATTTATAAAAACAAAAACAATCTGATGCATTAGTTCAGTGAGGCAGATCAAATCAAACAAGATAAAATGAGCTCTGCACATTTTCACATCCCTGCTTGGAAAGCTGTTTTTTTGTGGTTCCAGAGGTCTGCTTGATTTTTCTTCATAATTAGGACGACTTCTGTTTGAGCTGAACCGTTTTCAGCTCGTTATGAGGAAACATCAATGTCATTAAGAGGAAATGTCAACTTTTYACCAACTGGGAAAAAAACTGCAGGCTCACAGAGAGAGTCAAGTTTCTGCTCAATTATTTTTTGTAGCTACTTATTAAAAAAAGGCTAAAAAAATTCAAATATSTCATTTAAACTATCCTTTGGAAAGATATATGTTGGTAAAATGCTGTTTTTAACACTGGCTGCTTGTTTCTCCACAGACCACTGGGATTTAATCCTCAGTGATGTGATGATGGGTCACATTCAGTCCCTCAGTCTCAAGTTAAACCTGTAACATTCAATATAAGAGTCAGAAGGTGAAGTAAGTGTGTGTGTGTGTGTGTGTGTGTGTGTGTGTGTGTGTGTGTGTGCGTGCTGTGAGGCAACGCCTCTACAATCATTTATTTATTAAAGAAACTCTCCAGACCAAACTGGCTCTGTGAAGAAGTCAACCTGAACTTGTTCCCTGTAGAACCTGAGGTCTGGACCTGCTGGGTTTCTGTTAGAGAGCTGAACTCAGGATCACGTGGGTCAGACCCTGAAGCAGCACCGACCATCACACTACCACCACCGTGCTCGACTATCAGGAGGTTTGTGTTGAAATGCAACATTAGTTTAACTCCTGCAGTAACTGAAGGTTTCTGAAGTATTACTGTGGTGAAGGTTCATCACTCATCCTTCTCAGCACTTCTTCCTGTCAGGGTCACTGATGTCCATGTCCAGCAGTCCTATGAGGGGCGGGGCCCGGGACAGTCCAGTCCATCACAGGGTCATATAGGCGACCCATCACATCAAAACAATGATTGAG